GTTTTTTCCCTTTCTGTCCAGCTGCCTTTCGGGAGCGGGGGGCTCTGCCCCACACCTCCCCACCGCAAAGGGGCACAGGGCAAAATGAACAGCTGGGTAAGGGAAGAGGGTCTGGGCTGCAGGTCTGGGGAGGTGGGAAGGGCCTGTCCACTAGGCTAGAGTTGGGGGGGCTGTGTATGTGGGGGGGTGTCAGGGTTTGGAGGAGCTGTGTGTGAGGGAGGGGGTGGGTTGAGCACCAGGCCTGTTAGGGGTGATCACAGGTATGGGCAAAGGGGGGTGCATGTAAGGAGGAGAAGCTGGCCTCAGATTTGGGGGGAAAATGGGCGCTGTGTGTGGGAGAGGCTGGTCAATAGGTTAAGTGGGGAGAAGGGTAAGTAAACCTTTCCCCTGCCCTGCGGGTTTGGGTATGTCAGGTGCTTGTGGGCAGTGTGTTTTTTGGCAGCCGGGCTTCCTCTCCTGGCCCTGACCTCTGAAATGCTGGAGGTTTGCTGGGCTACCCTCAACTGTTGTGTGTGGTTTTGGGGGAAGGGGGTCATGTGCTGCCCTCGCCCCTTGCTTTTAGGAATTTGGGGTTTGGCAAAAGGAGGCTGGAGCTGTGTGTTTACAGTTTGCACTGCCTTACTAATGTGAACCTGTCCTGAATGGGAGACTTGGCTGTATGGCAGTCCAGCTATGGCCTGTTAAATTCTTCTAGTTACTGAAAGTAAAATTTACAGTCACTATAACATGGTCTAGGCATGCTATTTTCCATACACGTTTTTGATAAGTGTTGGAGGTTAGGAGGACCGTTAGGAGTACGGCATTTGGATACCTTAGGTCATTGCAGGCTGTAGAGTCTCGTGTAAACATTGATTGTGCTGAATTTAATAACCTTTGATTGAAATATCAACAAGTGACAGGGTTTGTTAATAATTAATGTCATGAATTATCTCCACTTTCCAAAATGAAGTCAAACTTTAAAAAAAAGTTTTTCTGCCTAAACTCCTAGTCATTGTATCCTTCTGTATATTTGCTTTGTTAGATGTTAAAAAGAACTTTTCTAAGTGATAATCTTCGGACATAATTAAGTAATCCCTTTACCTTCTTTGTGTAAAAGACTTGACTTTAAGGGGCTTCTTTCAGGTCTGTGATCATCCTTGTGGTTATTTCTATCAGCATTTCTGGTTTTTGACATCATATTAAGGTGTTGGTCCCTGAATAGAAGCGTGACAGTCCATTATTGATCTCACTGATGCGATATGAGAAGAGAATACTGTCTTTCTCCTTGATACTACTTTCCAAGGCTCCCATTAGTTGTTTTTGCTAAGACTTGTGTCAGGAATTAATGTTCACGTGGTATCTGCAGTGCTGCCCAAAGTCCTTAATGTCATTGCATTCTGTGATACAATTCCCTTTCATATAGGGGCTGGTGTTTTACAAATGCATGACCTTGCATTCTTCTGTTTTTTAAGATGTTGTTTAAATGTGCTTATTATCAGTGAAAACAATTCTAATGGCTCTTAAGCAGTGTTCAATAATCCCAGTGATGGGGTTATTCTCTGGCATGCTGACCTTGGTCTGAGGGACGCTGGTCCTAATGCTTGTGTGCCGTCTTTTATGAAAGTTTTAGTTTTTACTTGCTGTTTGCTAACAGCATGTTAACATTCCCATGTTCTGGGAGAGAGCTTAAATGCGATCTGAAATGGGAAGGGGAGGCTTGGACCTGTGATTTAAGATTAGATACTCAAAAGGAGGAAATTTGTATAAAAATATATTGGAGGGTGGGTTTTGGGGGTGGAGTGAAGATGGAAAACTTCAGAATTGCTTGGACAGGAACATAACATACTGTGGGATGAACACACAGAGCTAAAAGTTGTCTTAGTATTTAATATGTGGAGCAGAATGATGCTTTTCTGGAGGATTTTGGGAATTCTGGTTATAAGCTCGTTAGCTTAACTAGGAAGAAACCACTTTAACCTCCAAGTAGAAGAGAGACTGTGCCATAATATATGTAGAAATACTCTGCTTATTAAATAATGCTGCTTGTCATTGGGAGCTGTGGTGTTGGAAGCAAAGTGCTTGCGGGAGAGAAACAGTAGATTACCCATGTTCTGTGTCAGCTAAGTGTGATTTAAACACACTTCTTAAGTAGTTGTATGGTCTTAAATGTAAAACAAAGCTATGAAATGCAAAACTTTCACCAAATTAGAAATTAGATGTCTAGTAACTTATATCACATCTGCTTATGTGATGCTGAACTGGTGCTGAAACTCTTCAGAATGCTAAAATCACCTGATAACTGCTCTTTTTAGTTAAAAAAACAAAACAAAACAACCCAAAGTGTTTTTCAATGACCTTTCTGGTGATGTTCTTGTTTAGGATCAGTGGTCCACTGAAAAACACCGGTTTTCTTTCGGTGGCAGAATTTTCTTCTGGTGAATGCCAGTGTCTTTCCTGTTGTGTTTGGTGGTGGTACCAGGCGATTAGTTAGCACTAGATCCAGTTTCTGGCTGTTTTACCAGCGCTGCAGCACCCTGCATGTTTGCAAAGATCTTTCCAAACATTAAATGAAGATTGTCCTTCTTGAGTCTGCCAAAGAATAGTTCTACTGTTTTTCAAACTGCTGGAGTTGTCCTCTATTGGCTTGTAGCTACCAGCAGGAAGGCTGACTTGGATATTTATTTTAAAAACTCTGTGGGTAGAAGTGAAAGAGTTTGTCTAGTAATAGTTCTAGTTCAGTGTGCATTGTAGGGGAGGTTGGGCCTTTGGGAAGAAAATTGATCCAAGAGGAAATTTGTTCTTGAAACATCTGGTGTTTCCAGAGACACTCTGCCTGTGCAGAGGCAAAAGTGCATTGAGAGGCTTCGGCTTGGCTAACTTGGAAAATGTTCTAACCAGCATATCGTCTGAGACTCTTCCATCAGATCCCTTCCATGCCTCTCCATGGTTCTTCCCCGATGGAATGGAGCCACGAGGGAGGCTGCTCCCTGACGTCTGACAAGGGACAGGCCTAGGGATCTTCACACCACCAACAGTCATTTCACACGAGCTACACAAATAAGTGCTGGTGTCTTTTGATATATGCTGAGGGAGAGAGACCTGGACTTCACTCCCCTCTCTCCTCTGGCCTTTTGCAGAAAGTGATGAGCTCAGTCACTTCTGGTTTTGGTCAAGGAGGGAATAAACAATTTATAGAAGGTAATGTAACCCTTGTCAAACTTGGGTGTGTTTTTTGGTAAGGAAGAGAACCAAAAGCTATTGCTCTGCTTTCTGAGAGAATCACTTCATATCCTGATTTTTTTTAATAGCCCATTTTTGTACCTGCTCCAGTTTGAACTGCCTGCTAAGGTGAATAAGAGGTGAAGTATTGCGCTCTGTGCGATGGCAGTCGTGTATTCTTTTCTATTGCCAAATGCTAAAGTACTGTGTCTTAGGATTGTGGTTTCTAGTGGTTGCATCAGACCCGTGACTGATGATACCTTGCAGTTGGCTAATGGAGTCAGGTCTTTCTGTCACTGTTTTATATGGCTGAAATATAGCTGGGGAAGGACTTTTTACTAGGGCATGTAGTGATAGGACGAGGGGGAATGGCTTTAAACTGGACGAGGGCAGGTTTAGATTAAACATTAGGAAGAAATTTCTTACTTTGAGGGTGGTGAGGCACTGGGACAGGTTGCCCAGAGAGGTTGTTGAGGCCCCATCCCTGGAGGTGTTCAAGGCCAGGCTGGACGTGGCCTTAGGCAGCCTGGTCTGGTGGGAGGTGTCCCTGCCCATGGCAGGGGGTTTGGAACTCGATGATCTT